ATCAAATGATCACATTCAATAACAAACTGCACAAAAAAGCAAAAAACGAACCAGAACTCATATCATTCGTGCCCGCTGCATCATCAAAGTACCGCCTCACCTTTCTTGATGTCTCCACTCTCATGTTAACACTAAGATTTCCACCTCCCCGAGATGCACTCACATTTCTTTCGTACGATGGTGCAGTCTGAGAGGGTATCTTCTGTGCAGCACTTCAATTAATCACTCATTATCACTCATAACAAATTCATCTTGAAATGGGTAATAAAACAATGTAACAACCATAAAACAAAAACAAATGAGCAACGATTGATGTGAAACGCTAGTCTCGCATTATGTTTAACCCTAAACCCGTTACATCAATCTTTAATAATCAAACGATGTTCACTTCGGAATCACATCCACTTATCCATATCGATATATCAAATGTATGCTATAAACACCAAGTACCAATCGTAATAATAATGCAAACACGAACAATCGTCTCGAAGTTGAATCCTCATCGGAATCGTCGTCAGTCACACGAGTTCTATCGATCTCATCACTCGGCACCAAAACCAGTCTCTTCTTCTCAAAATCTGGCTCTTCTTCACGTTTCTTCGATGCCTTTATAACCAACTGAAATTCACTTCAATTACACACATACACATACATCTATCATTTACTTCAATATTCTGTTCCAATCAAGCATCCCAACACTACTATTAATAATCGCTATTCTCATTTAACACTGCACGTTCAAAACCACACTTCAAACATCCCCATTTAATTTCCCATTTTACAAATGTTTGCATTAAATTCACGCCATCATTCTATATTTCAAAACGCACTAATCAACAATAATAAACCTGATAATCCGAAATTAACATTTTAAATATATTCACACACGACTATAGTACATTTGTATATGTAATATGACAACGATAACAATTTTTTAAATGTTAAATTGCTCAATTTTTACATGAAAACCGTATATAAGTGATGCCTTTTTTTAGTAAAAGCTCTCGGTATCATATTCTATTGAAATCTCGTAAACATTAAGCGCAATAAAAGTAAATACAAGACAAGCAATTGGACAACAACAATATATAATAACAACTCACCTCTCTCGCCTGTTTCAAACNTAAATACAAGACAAGCAATTGGACAACAACAATATATAATAACAACTCACCTCTCTCGCCTGTTTCAAACCCCTTTCCCAAGCACTTTCTTGACTTGTCATCACTGCATCTCGTGGATTATTCCCAATATTAGCATTAAAACCTGCACTCCCAGTCACATTCGAATAAGCACCTCCAACAAATTGATCTGATTGATTTCCATAATTTGTAAATGTTACTCGTGAATGAACACTCTCACGGAACGATGCTAAAAATTTTACATTTCAGTCACTTTCGAACTGATAGAATTAACGCTAGTCATAATATGACGTAAGACTGTCATAATCATTAAAATTTATGACAGACTAATCGTAAGAACTTACATCTGCCTATATCAGTACGACCCCCTCTATTCGACACAACTCTCGGTGAACCACTACTCGTCCAAGTTAACTCACTTGACGAACTCTGCACCGGGGGACCCATTGAGGGGTCGCTTTGCTGTAGGATATTATTTTATTATCACCTGGATTGGCATGCAGGCTATCAAACGTTTGTAACGTTGCTGGCCACAATGCTCACGTTTCCGTGCAC